ATAAATAAGAAAAGAAAACATTTATGCTTGAATCTTTTAAATTATATCACAGGAGAGAGAGAATACAGTTTTAAATTAAATTTACCTTTAGAAAAAAATAATAAAGAATATAAAACTTGTCTCCAAAAGGCAGCAGTAAAATTGCAAGCTCCTGGGAGGGTCGGATGCTTGTCATCACCTGAATGTTATTCTTTTACTTGTGGTATGTTGTTGATGAGTCAGATGGGCACCCGGTCCTTTCTGAATGTCTTGAAAGACGGACAATGAAAGTTTTTGTTTTGCTTTGGGTTTTGTTTTGTTTTGTCTTTTATACTTTAAAACAGTATTTCTCAATGTGTGTATCCTTGAATTTTTTGAAAGAATAATTGTTCACTGTAACATGCATTGCATGATGTTTCATACTCCTGGTATTTACTTAGTAAAATTCTGATAGCTGGTTCCCATGTTTTTAATAAATTTTTTTATAAAGTGCCTCCAAACATTTCCTAATGTCCCTAGGAGGGTTGAGAACTACTGTGAGGTTTACACTCATCTGTTCCCAATGAATGAAAACTTGAAGAGCAATATGGGACATGTGACCCTTGGAGAACCCAGCCTTTCGGCTAAGGTGCTTTGGCCATTTTCCAGCTGAACATTTTTTTTGTTCCTCTAGGAAAAAGTCAGGCTTGAAAAAATATCACTGGAAGGGAATTGTATAAAAGACTTAGGCCACTCAATTCCCAAGGGAGAGGAAGAAATGTCATGGGGAGCAGTTTATTTCCACATTTTCTAACTTTTACAACCTGTAATACTTTACCAAAAGACGACAGGGAAGTGGCCTTCCAGCATCAGAAACTACAACACACTTAGATTTCAGCACCATGATCACTGTCCATTGTTTCACAGCTAGAAGAGAGGACAGATCACCTTGCATCCCTTGTGCAGATGTCAACATTTTTCAGCAGAAGGCCAGATGCAAATATTTTAGGTTTTGTGAGACAAACCTTTTTTGTCACAACTACTCAACTGTACCATTATAGTTCAATGAAACCAAAGGTGGTATAGTATATAAGTGAAGGGAACGATGTGTCCCAATAAAACCTTATTTATAGGCCTGGTGCAGTGGCTCACACCTGTAATCCCAGCAATTCGGGAAGCTGAGGCAGGCAGATCACCTGAGGTCAGGAGATTGAGACCGGCCAACATGGTGAAATCCTATCTCTACTAAAAATACAAAATTTCGCCTGGCATGGTGGTAGGCATCTGTAGTCCCAGCTATTTGGGAGGCCAAGGCAGGAGAGTTGCTTGAACCCGAGAGGCAGAGGTTGCAGTGAGCTGAGATGGTACCATTGCACTCCAGCCTGGGCAAAAGAGTGAGACTCCATTTCAAAAAAAATTTTTTTTAAATCCATATTTACAGATATATACTTTTTATGTCACAAAATATTATTCATTAATATTTTAAATGTTAAAAAAATGTAAAAACCATTCCTAGTTTTCTAGACCCATCCTACAAAATAAAAAGCAACAGGCCAGATACAGCTCATGAGCTATAGTTTAACACCTGACCTTGAATGGACACCCGTGGACGAGCCTTAGCCAAGTTCATCAGCTCAGGTGCCACTATTGTGCAAGAGAGTTGGCTGCATTTGAAGGATTAAGGAGGAAGGGATCCAAGATCCCTAGTAACATAGTGACTAAGGAATAGGTGAGCCCAATAAAGAGCTATATATACATGTGGTGTGTGTACTTTAATCTTTCACTTCTGCACACACGAAAATTTTTACCCATTTAAACATCTTAACAAATTTCTGTCTCTTATAAAAAAAAATGAGAGAAATGGTGTGGATAAAGCTATTTTTCTCTTGAAGTGAGGGATCTTTCATTATCATACTTAGAAAAATATTTAGTTGCTACAGTACTTAGAAAGAAGCAAAGAAGAATATCTTACCAGGTTTTTACCCAAAAATTTAGCCGAAATATTGTGGTGTGTAGGGTTAACTTCAAGTTAAATGCTGTATTGTGTTTTGCTGACTGAGACGTATATTCATGAAAATAGCTTATCTCCCAAGCCTCTGCTTTTCTTAATTTTTTTTTTACTATTTATTATTTTTCTTCTTAGGAGCAATAACATTCTTTTTTAAAAGTCCGCTTCAAAACTGTCACAATTATGTTACTCATACCTACTCTCAAAAAGTTAATAAAGTAGATGAGAGAATAATTAAATACTTCAAATATGTATTAAAATGATCAACCTGTTTGCACGAGAACTCTCTATGCTAATTCTGTTCATTTCTATAGGTTTGAAAAGTTTTCATTGTTGTTTTTGTTTTTTTAAAGATGGAATCTATCACCCAGACTGAAATACAATGGTGCAATCTCAGCTCGCTGGAACCTCCACCTCCCGGGTTCAAGTGATTCTCCTGCCTCAGCCTTCCGAGTAGCTGGGACTACACACACATGCCACCACACCCAGCTAATTTTTGTATTTAGTAGAGATGGGGTTTCACTATGTTGGCCAGGCTGGTCTTGAACTCCTGACCTCAGGTGATCTGCCTTCCTAGGCTTCCCAAAGTGCTGAGATTACAGGTGTGAGCCTCCATGTCCAGCCATTTGAATAGATTTTAATACAAAAATTAAAAAGAAAAACATATGATCTTTTTGTCTTCTCTTTTATTCCTTTGTATATAGTCATTCATTAAATCTTGTTAATTTTTGGACTAAATGTCCGTTTGCATACCACAAATTACTCCAATTATTTGGAATTCTCATTTTTTTAATCTTATTTATTCTCTTCTCTCAATATCTAGACTAATTTCCTTAAATACTGCCTGTGTGTTGAAATGCTTCCTTGACTCCCTGACTCTTCCCCCAGAATGACCCTCACCACCAAGCACTTTTACCTGCTGTTTATATAAATGCATCAATATCCTATCCTATTTCCTCTCTCATCTTCTCTTTTTTAGTAGAAAATAATTTTCTTAGCATCTTTTAGGACAAAATCTTTCTTACCTAAATGTCAGAGCTCTATTTCTTAAATAAAATATTTCCTTAGTTCAAAGATAATTTTATAAAGGGTAATGTTGTGATTCATTCAAACATAAAATGACTACGGGCCAAATATTTTATTTACTCATTAACCAATAAGGCAGCCATGAGGCTGTAACAAGTAGTTTACAGAAGAATCCAGAGATGAGATGCAAATATGCAATAAGAAATATTAAATATAGTTGCTAATAGAAGTAAAAATTCAATATATATAAGACAATAATGTAACTGCCTTTGCAAAAGTTATAACTGAGACAATTATTAAAGTGAAAGAGATGTGACTTCACTGACTCGATCTTGCTTCTAACCTCCACGCTGCCTTTCTTCATTCTGGGGCATAGGCCAAACTCACTGGCAGGAACTTAGTTCTTTTGGTTTAGCTTTGAAACAAAGACAGTAATATCTCCTTTCCCAAAACAAACCCCCGTCCTTTCTGGGGACTAGACTACCTTGTTGGACTAACAAATTAGCCACAAGATGAGAAACAGTCGTTTAGGAGTCATATGCAGCTGGAGCCTGAAGATTCTAAACCTCTCCAGATTGCTTCTGGGGATAAAGTCACTATTGTAAAATCTATGAGGAATGCTTGAGATATTTTGCAGACCTTACACTCCATAGATCAGCTGGCACAACCCGATGGATAAATAGGCTCATCTGGTCCTGTGGCCCCCACCCAGGAACTGACTCAGTGCAAGAGGACAGCTTCCACTTCCTATGATTCCACCTCCAACCTGACCAATCAGCATTCTCCACTTCCGGAGTCTGTACTCACCAAATTATCCTTTAAAACACTGATCTCCCAATTCTTGAGGGGATTGATTTGGATAATGATAAAACTCCAGTCTCCTACACAGCCAGCTCTGTGTAAATTACCCTATCTCTACTGCAATTTCCCTGCCTTGATAAATTGGCTCTGTCAAAGCAGCCAGTAAGGTGAATCTGTTGGGCAGTTCCAATAATGAACTGGAAATACACGTGAACAAAGTTCATTTCCCTTACTAGGAATAATTTGCATTATTGTTAATTCTTTGTCATTTACAGAGTTGTAAAATATCTTAAAAGCAATGAATGTGGCATACCCAGGGAATTAAATAACCCAGATGATTGCATAAAACAGAATGCCCAGTAATCTTGCTGTGTGTGTGTGCCCATTTCAAAGTCTTTTACAATTTTTCTTGACACTGAGTCACTTCTGATTTTCTCCCTTCCTTTTGAAATGTTGCCTGTAGCATGTACAGCAGTTTTGGCTCACCCCTTCGTACCTCCAGGGAGCTCATAGACCAGTAGCAGTGGTATCCACTGGTAGATTGGCAGAACAAACATTCTCAGGCCATGCTCCAACCTCTTGAATCAAAACTTGCCTTTTAACGAGACTATCAGGTCACTTATGTGAGTCTTGGAAACGGTGGTCTATACTACATCAATTAATGCTACTTATAAGCTGATGGACTTGCAATGTTCACTATTTTGTTACTACACCTTATGTTTCTTGATTTCCAAAATCTTTAGAATATAGCCTTAAGCATAATTAGTTAATTAAAATCTTTTCTCAAAATGAGGCAGATGCTGGCACGGTTTTCCATTACTAAAGGTTCTTAAATGGCTTTAAAATTTATCTGTCGTCTGATACTTGTGGAAGCTGCAAGACATAGCTGAGCTCACAATGCACTGGAAAAATGAATAATAAAATTTTTTTATTCCTTGAAATGTTTGAGAACTGTGCTAAAACACATTTTTATATATAAATAAAAGACATATCAAATACTAAGGGAATAAAGATCAATTAGGTATTTTACTAATTAAAGTTCCCAAATAGGAAAAACTGTACCTTGTTTTACTTAATGTATATGATGTTCTCAACAGTGCTATGTTCCTGAAGACTTTAAACAAAAGAATTTTGATATCTTAGTCTTAGCAAGTCTGCATTGAGTCAATTCCACACATGAGCAAAATATATTTTTACAAGATTTATGGTGCTCTGTTTGGCAGCACACATACTAAAAAATTAGAATGATACAGAGATTAGCATGGCCCCGGCACAACAATACCATGCAATCTTCTGAAATATTCCATATTTTTTGGAAGAAAATATCCTGCTTTCTGATAGATTACCTTGAAGGAAAAAAAAAAGAACCTATTTTTGTGGATTATTTACCAATCACACCACACAAGCATTTATTTTAGTAGATTTTTAAAATAAAACTGTTAATGCCAAAGCTTTGCATTAAAATAAATAAAATCAAATAAAATACATAAACAATAAAAAAATTATGAAGCAAAACTAAACTTCTCAAAACTACCTAAAATGTTCTTGTTAGGTTTAGACATATTGTTATTCAGGCTAATTATATTAACAAAAAAAGTTAGAGGGTTAAATATCCATTTATATTTCCATACAGGAGCACACTTCAATGAGTTGTTCTGGTTGAAAAGTAAGAATGCTTTACCATGAAAAAAAATTACATTTATTTTTAGTTTATCGGAGGTTCAGCTGAACTTTCTCTCTCACGTAATTTATTAGTTAGTAATCAAAGCTATTTCAAATTATGTTTCTTCCTAAAACAGTTAAACCATAATTTCTTTTTAATTATACATTTTTATATATATCTATAAATGGGTAGCTCATATATTTTTATTTAGGAAAATTTTTTTATAGGAAAAGCTACTTAAAAGTTCAGATTTTGAAGTAGCAAGTTCTATTCTACTTAAGGCTTATTTCTAAAGAGAAAGTAATCCAAAAATGAAATGCCAAGAAAGGTGTTTTCAGCTGTTCAGTATCCAGCAACAACCTCTCTGCCTGAACATAGGCTGTTTTCTCACAGATCCTTTAATATGACAGGAAAGAGGGGCCATAAAATTTTCTTTTCCTGTATGATCTTACAATAAGGAAAAAAGCAACATTTGCTGTGCAAATAATAAAGACTTAGGTTATCAGCTCTGAGTTCCATGATATGAATCCAACTTCCTGCTCTAGTCATTGAATTTCAATTGACATAAAACACATTGATCTATAGTTATTGCTGTAATATGAAATTAAGCAACATAAATTACAATGCCAGCAGGTGAGGTGGCTTACATCTATAATCCCAGCACTTTGGGAGGCCAAGGCAAAAAGATCACTTGAAGCCGAGAGTTCAAGATCAGCCTTGGCAACATAACAAGATCCCTGTCTCTAGAAAGCATTAAGAAAACAAAAAATTAGCTGGGTGTGATGGTGTATACCTGTAGCCTTAGCTACTCAGGAGGCTGAGAGAGAAGGTTCCCTTGAGCCCAGGGGGTCGAGGCTGCAGTGAGCTATAATCATGCTACCGCATTCCTGGCTGGGCAACAGGGTGAGACACTGTCTTAAAAAAAAAAAAATTAGAATGCCACCAATTAATGTTAAGGTTAATTTTACACAAGAAAAAATTTCATCAAGTATCACTTCAATTTTCACTCCTTTTTTTCCCCAAAACACAATCAAATTAATAAATGAACGAACAATCCAAACCCTTGCAGTCAGTAATGATAGCTCTTCAATTTTCAAAACTCTTTATACCCGTTTTGGACCTGCATAGTTTTAGAATCTATCCTGAGGCAAGCTTTTCTTCAACTGTTTTCTTAAAGTACAGGCTCCTGCTAGTTTTGGTTTGTGGTTGATCAAGGTGCTCCCGCTCTTGCCCATTCCTGTTTTGGCGTCTTATTTTATATTTAAGGCTTTGACTCACAGAGCTTCCTGTTTTATAATCGTCTGACTCACTAGGAGAGGGGAAATGAGTATCAAATATCATGTCTTGAAATTTTACCATGTAAATTAGTTTACCTTTACACATACTGTAGGATTGAACCTTCAAGGATTTGTGTGTGTGTATGTGTGTTCTGTTGTTGCTTTTTAGGGCAGAATTATTTCTAAATAAATTCTGTTTTTTTTTTTAAATTAATCTATGGTATTTAAGACTCAACTAAAAGATGTAGGTTCAGTTCCAGGTTGTTAAAATGTATGGTTAGATTTCACTTACTCCAAGCTTTTACCTAGAAATCTTTTAGAGGTAAATAATTCCCACAATCAAAGCCTAATCTCCTTTCTCCACTTTTTGTCTACAAGTCTTCTCTCTCCAGGTGGGTTCCTTGGTTCAGTAATTTGTACCATAACCTTTCATCCACTCAAAAATCTATATCCACATAAAGATGGTTTATTAAACATATGCACTTATAGATATAAGACATTCATAACAGAAAAAGAAGGCAAGCTTAAAATTCATAAAATGTATGTCTTTTGACATAATCTCTCGCCCTTCCTCTTTCCCTTTTCATCTTCCTCTCTCTCCTCCTCCCTATGCTTTCTATCCTTGGAATGATGAGTAGGTCATACTACAATTCAATTAAGTCTGAAATGACTGTCACTTACAGAAGATCTATTTTGTGTGATCCATAGTACTACCTAAGGGTATATATAAAAGATATTTTCAGTCAGTGCCCATGAGGAACTTCATATCACATCATATACTCACAAATTATAGGAGTTAATACACGTAAAATGCTAAAGTGTTAGCTAATAAATAAAGAAAAAGAAAGCACAAGTAACTACAACAGAGGCCCACTGTGAAAGTTTTTATAAGTAAGAGTACCAAGTTGAGGCCTGTGTGTGAACAGCATTTAATATTTATCAGTACCATTGTTTTAATTAACTTCACTATTAGGCTTTCATAACATTAAAATTTTTACATTTGCATAGAGATGGATATATTACAAAAAAATGTCTCTCTAAAAATGTTGCTTTTTTATTTTTGGGAAAGAATCTCACTCTGTCGTCCAGGCTGGAGTGCAGTGGCATGATCTTGGTTCACTATAACCTCCGCCTCCTGGGTTCAAGCAATTCTCCTGCCTCAGCCTCCTGAGTAGCTGGGATTACAGGCACCCACCACCATGCTTGGCTAATTTTTTGTATTTTTAATAGAGACAGGGTTTCACCATGTTGGCAAGGCTGGTCTTGAATGCCTGACCTCGTGATCCACCCACCTCGACCTCCCAAAGTGCTGGGATTATAGGAGTAAGTAGAGGATAGAATGAGGGCTTCTAGAGGCTAGGAAGGGCAGGGGAGTGAAGAATGAAGAAGAATGAAAGAGAATGGAGAAGGTTAGTTAATTGATACAAAATACAGTCAGATAAAGAAAGAAAGTGGAGCAAGACAGCTGAATAGAACCCTCAGGAACTCCAAATTGAACAATTATCCATGCAATAAAGCACCTTCATAACAACAAAAAATTAAGTAAGTAATCACAGTATCTGTTTTAAACATAATAACAAGGAAAGAAGCATTGAAGAGGGTAAGAAGGAAAGTGTTATATTGCCTAAACCATGCCTCCAAACCCCAAATGCCTGGTAGCCTAGAATGGAGAGGCAGTATGTTTGCTTGGGGAGGGAGAACAAACTGACTGTGGGATTGGCATTGGAACACAGTGTTGCCCTTTCACAGCACAGCACATGACAGAGTTCTGCCAGTGACCATGTAGCAAACATCTACAAATCCCTGAGCCGGCTGGGCACAGGGGCTCACGCCTGTAATCCCAGCACTTTGGGAGGCTGAGGCAGGTGGATCACGAGGTCAAGATATGGTGAATGAATATCTCTAGCCAATATGGTGAAACCCCATCTCTTCTAAATATACAAAAATTAGCTGGTTGTGGTGGCACATGCCTGTAGTCTCAGCTACTCTGGAGGCTGAGGCTGGAGAATCACTTGAACCTGGGAGGTGGAGTTTGCAGGGAGCCAAGATTGCACCATTTCTCTCTAGTCTGGTGACAGAATGAAATTCCATCTCAGAAAAAAAGAACACCCCTAGGCCAATGGAGAATCCTTGGTCCCAGCAGAAGGAAACTGAGTCTCAGCTCACTCCACCACCAGCTGATCAACTGATGAACGTGTCCTGTGGCCTGGAATAAATTTGAGTGGCACTCAGACCACAAGTACTGCAATCTGTGGGCAAGCCCTTGTACTGTCTAGGTCTTGAATACAGTGGACTTGTGGTGGTACCTAGCATGACATCAGCTGCATTGGCCAGGAGAGTGCTTGTAGCATCCTTCCCCCAACTGTAGGCGGTGCAGTTGGAGGAGATACTGCTTCCACTTAAGGGAAGAAGGGGAAGAGTGCCAAGGACTTTGTCCTGCAACTTGGGTATGAACTCAGCCACCGTAAAATATTGCACCCAATTCCTGAAGCAATTGGATAACAGAAAGAAATAGAAGGAATTCAAATTGGAAATGAAGAAGTTAAGGTATCCTTGTTTGCAGAAAATATGATCTCATATTTAGAAAAACCTGAAGACTTCACCAAGAAAGTATTAGAACTGCTAAATTTAGTCAAATTGCAGAATACAAAATCAACATAGAAAAATGTGTAGCTCTTCTATATGCCAGTGGTGAACAATCTACAAAAGAAATCAAGAAAGTAGTCCCACTCACCACAGCTACAAAGAAAAGAAAACAACAAAAAAAAAGAAAGTAAACTTAATCAAAGACATGAAAAAGAAAGAGTCTACAATAAATCTATGAAACACAGATGAAAGAAATTGAAGGAAACCTAAAGGAATGGAAATGTATCTTGTGTTCATTGATTAATTGATTGGAGGAATCAATATTGTTAAAATATCCATACTACCCAAAAAGATAGATTTAATGGAATCCCCATGAAAATACCATTGGCATTCTTCTTCACTAATACAGAAAAAACAATTCTAAAGTATATATAGAACCACAGAAGACTCGGTATAGCCAAAGCCATTCAGAGCAAAAAGAACAAAGCTGAAGACATCACATTACCTGACTTCAAATTATACTACAAAGCTATGGTAACCAAAACAGCACCTTACTGGCATAAAAAGAGACACATAGACTAATAGAACAAAACAGAGAACCCAGAAATAAGTGCAGGTATTTATAGCCAACTGATTTTCAAAGAAGGTGGCAAGAATACACACTGGGGAAAGGACAGCTTTTTCAATAAACGGTCCTAGGAAAACTAGATATCTATACATGGAAGAATAAAACTAGAACCTTATCTTTCACCATATACAAAGATTAAATGAAAATGAATTAAAGACT